GGGAAACTATTAAAATACTACGTGACATGTATCATGAAATTACCTCAGAGACCCAACCCCAAGCTTACAGCTCTGCACATAGTGAGTGTTTGAGAAACATTTGTTAAATCTGAATCATAAGAAGACCAGAAGAATGATACAGCTCTACCTTTTGGTTTATATCCTTAAAGTCAATTAAACTCTCTCTTCCTCATGGCAAGTTGTGAAACTACTTTTTCTTTCTGCAGTCAGTCTTAACCAGAGATGGAATGATGTTTTGTTGTTGTTGTTTGTTTGTTTTTGGCAAGGCAGTTGGGGTTAAGTGACTTGCTCAGGGTCACACAGCTAGTGAGCGTCAAGTGTCTGTGGCCATATTTGAACTCAGGTCCTCCTGACTCAAGGGCTGGTTCTGTAATCACTGCACCACCTAGCTGCCCCAATGTTTGCCTAGGTTGTTGTTATTTGAGATGCATCAGGAAGGCCCAATGCCTAAATGTATCTTTCCTACCTGAGTATCATAAAGCCTGGAATTATGCCATGTAATTTCAGAAAGGAGGATGGGGGAGGAGAGCATACTGAAAACATTTTTTTCCTGCTTCACAGTTTTACCAAGGGACATAAGTATTAAACATGTAAAACTCCTGACTAACTATCCCAATGCCAGCTGTGTGCCACTTACCTTATCTTCACTTTCTACTAAGGAAATATTAACAAAAGGATGTCTTTTATGCAGATTTTAGGTGTCAAAGATGCTGACAGTGATCCAAAATAAATGCATTTTTAGGGATTCTGAAGTGATGAAGATGGGGTAAGTAAGACAAAAAGAGGAAGAAGTATAGGAAGAACAAATCTAAATGAGAAAGTTAGCTCTCATTTGCTGCAGAGATTCCAAAAGTCAAGAGGGGGCCATATGTCATGTATCATGAAGATTTAATCATTTTCCTGTTAACTTCTTCAGAAAGCCAACATGTGTAATATCTTTGGCCTGAAAAAACCTAGTTTGGATGGAGCCAATGATGAAATTGGTCACATATTGCCAGATATTCATTTATTCTATATTGAAATAGACTTACTCTTCTCTTAAGAAAATGAAGTCCTTGGCTAAAAAGCTTTTACTCCAATTTTTTCCCTTAGTTTCTCAAATTCTAATATGCCCTCCATGTACTCCAGATGTTCAGTAGGTATGGGGATTTGAATTTCAGAAAAATGTGTACAGCATGGCTTAGAGGAGTTAGAATGATCAAATATGATGATTCCACTTGCAAGAGCATAAATGGGATTTCACAGGGGAAATTTCAAGGTAAGATTGGCAGAGTTAAAGTTAAGGTACAGTTTCCCTAATTCCCTAAAATGAAATGCCTTGGCTAAATAAAACATTAAAAAGAAATGGGTTTGGGTTTGGTGTGTACTAAGGATCTGTCCTACTCAAAAGTAGAGTGCTGAACTCAGAATATTCACTCTCAATAGATTTCCCTTTGGGAAAAGTATTTCACTGGGGCACCACCTCTGAGTTCTTAAGCTGGCATTCATGACATGCAGAGAAAAGGCTAGCAGCTCTCAAACAACTTGAGTGACACCAATAAGGTGGAGAATGCCTGTTTTCTGATAGCTATTTATTTAGCAGGCAGGAAATGGTGTGTTGACTAGTAGAGTCCCTGTTATGGGTCGAGCTTTGGCCCAGAGCTATCTGTCAGTAGGAAAAGCTGCACACATGAAGCCCAGTCACAACCCAGTGTGTGTCTGAGTCTGATGTTGCTTCATTTCAGAAAGACAGGATTCCTCTTCATGAAATCACCTACCTTAGAAAGGCCACAGAAGGCTCCTGGGTTACTGTATACTCTAACCCATCAGAAACAATCAAACTAATATGTAGCTTTGAATTACTCCTTTGGTACAAAAGCCTGAGGCATCGTTGGCAAGTTGAATGATACCTTTGAGACCTTTTTTTTCACACAGGTGAGTTCTCTGAAACTGAATAACTACTTAGGATCTCTTTTGTGCCTGATAACTATTTTTTAAGACCAAGATTAATCAACTTTCTCTTTCTGATGTAAATGAAGCATAAGTCTACTACAGGCTCAGTCCACGGAACCCAACAATAATCCCCAAACCGCATTCTGTCCAAGAGTTTTAACCTTCTCTGTTATCAAGCCTTTAGTAAGATAGGAAAAATAAAAGAGCAAAATCAACCTTGTCTTTGTCTTTACTTGCAATTCAGAAGTAAATTGAGTATATTTAACACAGGAGGAGAGGAAAGAGAGGAAAAAAGGACTAAATCAGCCACTTGTTGCATAGCCAGCTCTTGAATCTTGCATTTCAAACGTCCCTCGTGTCTGGATTTTACATAGCCCTACAAGCCTGTCACAACACTTCTGCTAACTTAAAAGGTGCTAACATCAGCTCTATATACTTTTTTGCTCATCTGTTAGTGAGCAGGTATAGGGCCATCTCCAAGGATGCTAAAAAAAAAAAGAAAGAAAGAAAGAAAGGAAGGCCACAAAGGGAGGACCCAAGAAACTTGGCTAAAATCACACAAAGACTGACTGGTGAAGTTGGGAGGAGAAACTGGATCATAAGGCCCTCACTCAGGTGGTATAGTTAAAAGAGTCAGATCCTGGGGGGAAGTGAGCCCTGAGAGTTGGCTCCCTGCTGTCCTCTCATTTGCGGTGCTGCCCCAACTACTTTTCCATTCCTGAACTCAGCAGGTACCCATAAAGTGGCAGCAACACCTTGGCTGCAATTCTGTTTTTCTTTGTTTTTTAAACTTTAGGTTTCTACCTTGGAGGTTTCCAGTCACAAAAGCCTTCCAAAGAGAGTTGCCAAAAGCGGTCTTTTGGGGTCTTGTCCTTCCAGTCAGTACCTCCCACTCCCTCCAGGAAGCTCTCTTTCAAATCAACAATGCCAAGTTTACAGCTGTCATTTGGGATGTCCAAGGAATCGAAGAAACATTTTCTATAATCAAATAACACAGAACAGGATCTCTGGCTGACCTCCTTCAACCAATGATTAGTGACTATTAGCAATGGGGGTCTCAGCAGAGCTGCCAGGAGCAAAAGCCTTTGTCCAGAACCTCTGAGCAGCAATAGCCCCACCTTGCAAGAGAGAAAAGCAAGCTAAAAGGAATGAAGGACCCTAAAGAGGTGTGATCCAAATTAGAGCCTCAACTCAGGAAAAGAGAGAGATGGTCCTATCAGGTGACACTGAAGGGCTGTCAGAGGGGCAGGAAGCAGGAACAGTGGTGAGGAACTCATTGTTCCAATAAAATTCACTAAAAAGTGTGTTTTTCTGTTCTGGACTATTTGTACACAACTTGCTTCCCAGAAAAACTGCAGCGCAGGAGTAACAAATGTGGAAGTATCCTTGTGCAATAACCTATATCAGGCTATTATTAAGAGTCAGTTTTGCAAACAAATACCAAAAATGTGCCAGACAGAAATATCTTTTTTTTTGAGGGGGTGGGGGGTAGTTGTCAGATTTTCCCTTCCTGACTGGGATACTTGCAAATGCAGTGAATCTGATGCTGGGTGAGTGGAGACAAGTAATACTAATAATGGCTTACATTTATAGGGTGCTCTAAGCTTTACAAAGCACTTAACAATCACTCATTAATTTTTAAAGTGGATCATGACAGACATCATGATAAAGTGAGTCAAACACTGTCTTTGGAGTTCAAGGGAGCTGTGGTCAGGTCCTAGCTCTGCTACTAGCTAGATGTTACACCGTAGGTAAGTTGCTTCCTTTCTTCGGACATCCCTCAGTTTCTTCATCTGTAAAATGTGGGAATGGGGTGAGAAGATCTCCAGGGTCCTTTCTAGCTCTAAAATCCTCTTACTTTGAAATATGTCCCCCCAAGAGGTGTTAGAGGTAGCTGGATGGATCAGACGCTGGATCATAAAGAGCTGGAGTGATTTGTCCACGTTAGATAGTGAACTGGGACGGAGGGGGAGCGGGAGGTGCGCGTGGCTGCTGGGTTCGCCTGACTGCTGAACTGCAGCTCCGATTTTAGCAGCTAAGCTTCATAGCTCCCGTGCCTTCCAGAATTCTGCCTACACATAGTGGATGTGCTGTAGTCGGGGGAATGAGAGAGTGGGTGGGACGGAATGCTCAGGAATGGATATTGCTCTCCAGCCTCTCAGTTCCACGGGTGTGCACCAATCATGAGCGAGCATGCAAATAAGCCTCGGCAGCAACCCCGTCAGGAGTTTTTTGTGGCCTCTCTCCCAGGAGAGCACACAACTCACTCTCTCTCTTTTCTTTTCTCTCTCCCTCTCTCTCAAAAGGACACAATCCTATTCTGCTAGTTCCTGCTCTGGAATTTCAGAGTTCAGGAGGTGAAATTAACCTTGACAGTTTATAGGGTTCCAGATGGGAAAAATCTCTCCACCCCCTCCCAGTTCTCCCCTCTGTTGAAAAGGTTTGGGGGGTGGGGAGTATAACTGGAGAAGGAAACGAAAATCATGCAGGGAGGTCGGAAAAGACACATTGCTGGTGGCAGCAGAGTCTTGTGGGTGTGTCGTGGGCATTACCTCGTGGTGAGGCTTCCACGGAGGCCGCAGTTCAAGTCTTGGCGGTTCTTAGAACAAGCATTCTTGCATCAATAGCTAATAGGCTGTCCAACCAGATGTTATCTGGGTGGGATAAGAGGGTGAGAAAACAGACCTGTTGTACGCGGTAGAGAACGTGTTTTCAGAAGGGTACCTCTTTCATACTGAAGACAGAGCAGATTAATTGGCTATTTAAAATCTGTTTCCCTTTGTGATTGGTCAAATGGGAGAGGCGTGATCACTCATGCATTACTAAAAACAAAACAAAACAAAACAAAAACAAACCAAACCAAAACAAAACAAAACAAAACAAAACAAAAAACCTCCCTGCCACCATTTTGAAGGGAACTTTTCATTCTAGACTGGAGCATGCATCCAGTCAAAACCGAGGGGCTTTTCACTTTTACAATTTATGGTGATAAACGGTCTTCCACAAACAAAAGATAGGGAAAAGCAAAGCAAAGTTGACTTTGGTACCTGTGACTAAGCTGGAGACGATGAGCGGTAACACCAACATCTGTAACATCCTCATTAAAAGTTCTCCTGGAAAGGAGAAGTACTTAACTTCCCGGTAGCTCATTTTGTATGGCCGGAGAGCAAATCCAAGGATTGTACCTAAGGAAAAGGAGGGGTAAAAAAAAAAAAAAGAAAAAAAACTGAGTCTCTTCTGAAACAAAATCAAGACTGTTCGAAAAGGGGCAAATGTTTGGCTGGTGTTTGCGATGTGTCTGACACAAGAAAATTTATTTAGGAGGCAAATATTTGCGCTGCTCTGGGAGCAAGGGAGTATGCACATCTTTGACGTCACTGTTTTGAAAAGGCTTATTCTTTCAGTTTCAAGTTCTCTGGTTTTATTAAATTCAAATATCTTTAGTTTAATATTTATACTGTGGCACAGCATTCTGACATGGTTCAGCATTACACAGATTAGGATATACCCCAGGTCAAATTATTTCATCATAAAATATAACTACATAGGGCAAAAGCCTGCTGTCACACAGCTAGTGTATAGTATACACAATTGTTAGTCCTGTCTTCCAATACCAATTATAAAAGCAGACTGTAATCTAATTTTTCAACTTAAAAAAGTTGTCCTCTCTTCATACTTTGGAAATCTCATTTGACACTACTTCAGCAACTTTTGTGGCATAAGTTTTTCATAAAGACCTGAGGGGACAGCGGCAGGGGATGGAAGGAAAACAATAACAGGAAAAAACTAGTTTTCTCTGAATTTTTGTTTCTTTTTTTCTCTTTCCATCCTTCACAACTCTAAACATAACAGACAAGATAATTTTATGAGTAAATCAAGTCATGCATAATACATTTGTGTATTCCTAAACTAATAAACTGACTTTACTTTGGTAAATGGTACTAAATAATTATTTACATTTTTGCATTTCTCCCATTTTTGAATTCAAGTTAAATATGATTTCCCATGATGGCTTCAAAAATTCCAGAAATTTCATGCCGATATTTATCAGACACAACTGATTCCAATTCATGCTGTCCGTATTGTTCCCTCCCGCTCTTCTCCACAGGTAATCTGTGGAAGAGGCAATTTGACCACTTGAGTGAATGTCATCAAATACATCCTTTGATGTAGTGGTTCCAAAAAGCTGACAGCTTCTCCCACTTTGGCAAGGCACTTTGACAATTCTTTTAACTAGGAGACAGGTATACATGGACTCCTCTCCCTGTGGAAGGAGCTAGGCATTATATTTCTAAAGCATTCTCCAGTGGCCAATCATCGTACTATTTTGTAATGATGGCTGCATCTCTAAGGATCCCAAACTTTGTGTTCTTTATGTATGTTTATATCGGTATATCTTTATCTGTATCTGCATCTATCTATGACTATATCTATATCTATGTCTATCTCTGTCTATCACATACTAATCTCTTGGCTGTTTACTATAATATTCACTGTGTGATTACATCATACAGAGGCATACTGGGGCATAATCCAAGCCCACATCACTAGAGAACCAGACTTCTAAATCACAAGATAAACCAGTCACATGCAAACAGTGGGCTTGCAATGGATGTCTAGGTTTGTATTGCCTACCCATGGCAAATCGCATAGATCAACATTTTTCTAAGAATGCATATATACATATATATATCTTTTAAATTTTGACCTTGGACAAGTCACTTAATTGATCTGCAGTTTGCAAATTTAAAATGCTATGTAAGTGTCTGGTGTTATTTGTCCTGACCTGTGATCTGACCCATATAGAAAGCTCCTGGTGAAGAAACTTGCCCTGCTAAAGGCAGACCAGCAACTGTTCTGAAAATTATGATCTTAGTGAGTTGTCTAGGGCACTGAGAGGTTTAGGTGACTTGCCCACGGTCAGAAAACCATTATGGATGATGAGACTTCAATCTTGACCTTTTGGCCTTTGAAGCTGTGTCTCTTTCCAGTATGCCATGCTGTCTTTCTCAGATATTATTATTATTACATTATATTACAGTTATTAATGATAATATTTATTACATATTTAAAATATATTTAAACACAATATTTTGAAAATCAGTTGCAATTGAATTGTTCACTAAGCATATTCAACAAAATAGCTGTGTCTTTTGGGGCTGGGACCTGTCAGAATACCAGGAAGCCTAAGTAGCAAATAAATAAAGGAATAGTGATTTAAGAACTCAGGCAGATCTGCAGGTTACTGATGGGATGTATTCCAAGAGCTTACCTTGTAAATTGCTTGTTTGGAACTCAGGACACATTTCCCCATAGAAACAATGTTCTAAAAGGTGATTAAATTCCCAGGTCAACCCGAAAAAGCCTATTTAACCCATAATATAGTAGAACTATAGTCCCGTTAGTACTAGCCTGAGTTCTGGGTCCTGTGAGCAGGAGGGAAGAGGAGGAGGAAGAATTTCGTCCCCCTTTCCGGGATGCAGGGCTGGCCCTAGGCAAAATTTTGAAATAAGTGAAGTTTGTCCTTGACATTTTCCCACCTCCTTATCTGCACCCTCCCCCACCTCCTGGTGCCCCTCCTCATTAGGCCCCCAGGTCCCCATAACCCTTATGCTGACTGAAGCCCCCCACCACAGCATCCCTCCCAGCCTGCCCATGCTTTAAACTTACCTACATGTACTCCCTTCAGCCTCCCCACCCCCAATCAAAAGCCCTTTTCCCTTGATCTAGATGTTCTCAGGCAAATGTTAGAATAAAGTAGTCTGACTGAATTGTTCGTGAATGACAACTCCTTAACCTTCCAAGATCATTTGTATTTCTAAAGAGAATATTTGGTAACCCAACTTAACCTCTAATTGTTGGATTATAGGGTGGATGAAGGTGAAACCACACACAATTCTGTTTACTCTTTCTTGAGGAATAAAGTGAAATGAAAAAAAATTCAGGTAACACATTCAACACATTTCATCAAGGTAAGCAGGCCAGACACACCTGGAAGTCTGTCCCTTATCGGGAAGGTAGGGGAGGGGGGAAGAGAAGGGAATAATATTCTCTATAATGCCTACTATGTGTCAGGCACTTTACAAGTATTATCTCATTTGATCCACACAATAGCCCTTCAAAGTAGGTGCTGTTATTAGCCCCATTTTAGAGTTGAGAAAGTTGAGGTAAATAAGTTAAGTGACTTGCCTAGAGTCATGCAGCTAGCAAGTGTCCAGAGACTGGATCTGAACTCATGTCTTACTGACTCCCACTGCTTCATCTATCTAGGGAAGTATTATAGAGAAGAAAATTTAGGTTTGATGTAAGGAAAATCTACCCAACAATTAGAATTGCCCAAAAGATGCACAGGCTGCCTCAGGACGTGGTGAGTTCTGTCGCTAAATAAACTGATGTGAAGGTTGGATGCTTACTACTTGTGGGGGACGTTGGAATTGGGAATTCTTATTCAGGTATGACCTCTGAGGTAATGAGCCTGAGATTGTGTGATCTTGAGTCAGAGGGAATGAAAGGTGAGTGAAATCATGTGAAGTCCTGCTGCTTGAGCTCTTGGGAGACAGGGCAGATAAAACCCCTATGTGACTTTGAGCAAGTCATTAAGCCCCTCTCCACTTGCCCTCCTCTACCACCCTGTGTGGTTTCCTCATGGGTAAAGCAGGGGGAATCACACTTGTACTACCAAACTCACTGGTTTTTGATCCAGTGACACTGGCCCCCAGGATGTTCTATGAACATGACATTATCTCTGGGCTCTGGTATTTCTTCTGGCTGTTCCCCATGCCTGGAATGTTTTCCCTCCTCAGTTCTGCCAGCTGACTTCACTGGCTTCCTTGAAGCCCCAGCTAAAATCTCAACTTTTACTGGAAGACTTTCTCAACCCCTCTTAATTCTAGTGTCTTCCCCCTTCTAATCATTTCCAGTTTATCCTGTATATAGCTTGCTTTGTACATATTTATTTGCATGTTGCCCCCCCATTAGATTGTAAGCTCCTTGTGGGCAGGGATTGCCTTTTGCTTCTTTTTGTATCCCCAGAACTTAGCACACTGCTTGGTACCTAATAGACATTGAATAAATGTTTATTGACTAATTGGTTATGAGAAAAGCACTCTGAAAAAGCACATAACCTGCGATTTAAATGTGAGCTATAATCAAATTATTTTATTTTTATGATTAGACCCAGGCACTAGGAGAAGCAGAATCCCTGGCTTTCCAATATCTGCTACAACTCTAATGATCTGCTCAGCTGCTAGAGGTGTGTGCACTGGAGGTGTCTGAGTCCCAGCAGGACTGAGGATTAAGAATGACTTTTAAGTTGTTTTAACATGTAACTAGGAGAAAAACAAAAAAAAAATTAAAAATTCTATTTTAAAAAAAGAATTACTTTTAGGCCTTCATTGACCACCTCAAACTCCAGCTATTAGCACCAGGGCACTGTTTAGAACAATTATAGTTGGGGGCAGCTAGGTGGTGAAGTGAATAGAGGGGACCTGAGGTCAAATGCAGCCTCAGACACTTGACACTTACTAGCTGTGTGACCCTGGACAGGTCACTTAACCCCACTGCCTAGCCAAAAAAACAAAACAAAATTGTTATAGTTTTCAGTGTTACTTGATTTGTGTGTGTATTCACACAGATACATATACGCATGATACTACCTGAGATTACATTGACAGGAAATGCCCAGTGAGTAAAGTCCCACCACGAATGTGGATTAGCACCTGCCCTACGACTTCATGACCAAGAGAGCAGCCCCGGGCACTGAGAGATGAAGTGATTTGATTAGAGTCACAAATTTTCACATAGCCAGCATGTATCAGAGTTAGGATGTGAACTCAAGTCCTCCTGATTCCAAGGCTGGTTGTCTATACATCATATCATGCATTGTATAATAATATAGTATTAAGAACTAATATTTCTCTAGAATTTATGGTTTATAAATTGTTTACCCTACAATAACCTTATGAGCCAGGTAAGAGAAATAGTATTATTTCAGTTTTAGTGATAAGGAAACAGAGGTTCAGAGCAGTTACGGGATTTGCTTAGGATTACACAGTAATGAGTATTAAGAGTTGGATCTGAAATCCAAGTATCCTGACAACTGCAATCCTCTAGTCACTGTACCAATTAATTTCTCTGTATGCCCGTATGTTATATATGGAAGGATCTGTTTGTCTCTCTATCTCCT